AGGTGGTGAGTCCAGTTAGGAAACTTAGCAGCGGCCCAGGTAAAAGAAGGTGCAATCTTATGTAGGGCTATGGCAGAGAGAAAAGGAGAGGCTTACAGAGGGAAGGTCAATTAACTTGGTGAGGAATGAGAAAAGAGACAATGTTTCCACCAAGGGCAACTTGATGAAACTTAGGGAATGATCTCTTAGCCTTCCTATCCTGCCTAGTAAATGAATACAATGTTGCCGTCTAATGAAGTGTAGTGTATTCCCTTGAAGTGGATTTTGCAATTCATTGCCTTTTTGGAAGATAAGATACAAGACTTTCCATGAAAACAAATGTTGATAAGATGATAGTGAATCGAGGGGCTTGGTTGGTGCTACTGAAAGTTATATTGTATAGTGTTTTGAGGGCCTGAAAAATTAGCAACTATATATTGGTCTTTAATTTTTTAAGAGTTCTCAGATTAAGAATATTGAAAACTTGAATTCTAGTGGTGGATAATAGGGCTTAAAAAGGAAAATTATCACTGTTGATATACGTTTTCCACTTGAAAAGAGTATCAGGAGTGCTGTTAACTATAAATGGCTATATAATCAAGTCTAGAATGAACATTGAGTTAGAATATCCACTTGTGAGTTCTTTTGGAAGTCAAAATTGAGGTACATAACGTCCAATGTATTGCTGCTAAAAAATTGTTTTGATTTATTTACTCTATTATTATTACTTAATTTAGTCAGAGAGAGGGAAAGTGAAAAAAGCTGCTAGGTTTGGGACTCGAATCACAGTCAGCTATGTGTAAGTCCAGCCCCTGCAGCACCACACCACCTGTCAGGCCATAAAAGTTTGTTTTTCTGAAACATTTGAAACATTTTTTTTTTCTTTATTTTAATTTGACCAGGGAGTGAGAAAGTGGGAAAGCAAGCCACCAGGTCCAGGGCTTGAATGGTTATCGGCCCTGTGGGAGTATCCAGCACTTTAGCCACCTCGCCCCCTTCCAGTCCCAAAACAGGTTTTTTATATTCCTCCTGCCTTACTTTCTGTCTGTTTTTTGACTTTGTACTTTTTAGGGATTCCTGCTTAGTTAAAGTATTAGTGTCTCTTTGGAAATGTAAATTTTAAGCAATGTTTAAGGATTTTTGAAATTTTTATAATTTCTTATTAGAACCTTATTTGAGGGTAAATTTTATTATTCAATTATTTGTTATTATAGCATAGCGACAGTGTTCAAGTTCCGTATAAATAAACCTTAAAGACCAGTAAATTAAGGCCAGCAGGTGGCATAGTGGTTAAGGTGCTGGACTTGCACATGGTCAATCATGCTTTGAGTCTTGACCCAGTGGCTTAAAACTCATGCCGGGCGCATGTGCATGTGCGCCTAAAATCCCGAGAGAAGAATGGTGGAGACGAGACGGTGGTGTGGCCATCCACCCTTAGGGGGATTTCTCTCTTTCTGTCTTTCCAGCAAGTGCATACACTCTATAGCAAAAACCTCTTAAAAAAAAAAAAAAAAAAAAAAAAAAAAAAGACCAGTAAAAAATCTTGGTTATAGTAATTCAGAGATGTTTGGTCCATTCTCTTTGGTGTTGAAGAATGGAATAAGTGGTGGGGAGGGCAGCAGGTTGCATGGCAATTAAGGCTCTGGAATTCCCACATGGCTGACTGGTTCAAGTCCTGGACCTGGTGGCTTGCTTTCTCTCTCTCTGGCAAAACTTGTGAAAAAATAATAATAATGATTAATTAATTAAATAATTCCTGGGGGAGGGGAAAAAGAATGGAATAAGCGAGGACCAGCAGGTAGCTTGGTGGTTAGGGCACTGGACACTTCTACATGGCTGACCGTTGTTCGAGTCCCAGACCTGGTGACTTGCTTTCTCACTTTCCCTCTTTCTCTCTTGTTTTGTCTCTCTCTGGTCAAATTTAAAAAGTAAATGGATAAGTAAAATTAAATATGTATATTTAAAATAATGGAATAAGCATTTCTACCGTGGGAACATAATTCTAGAGTTAGAAGGATCTTAGAAGAAATTCCAGAATCTCTAACTTCACTGATAAGAAAAGTTGGGCCCAAGGTGGCCAAGTAACATTTACCGAGATCAGTCATAGGGCAGGTTATTGGCAATGCAAAGGAAATAGCATTATACTTATTTTGGTTCTTTTACAGCTTTTCTTTTAATTGCCAGAGAATGCGTGTACTAGAGAGAGAAAGAACTCCCAGTGGAGCATCATCACTGTAGTCGTTTTCCTCCACTCTTCCCTCCTGTCAGGATCTTGGGCGTGTGCACCCCAGGGCTGGGATTCAAGCCCTGATCAGCCATATGGGAGCCGCTCTTAATGCGCAGCGCTTAACCACTGCGCTACAGAGCTGGCCCAGTAGGGCTTTTCTCTAAGGAATCTACACTAGGTAGTTGTGGGGTTGTGTGTGTGTGTGTGTACTTTTTTTTATCATGCAGTTGAAGATAAGAAGTGAAAAGAGAAGGGAATCAGTGAAAACTTGGTATTCACCAGAGATAAAGGACAGCTCTTTTTTTAAAAAAAAAAAAACATTGGAAACTTTTGAAGTTTCTTTCTTTCCTTTTTTTTTTTTTTTTTTGGAAGTGTTTTTGCGTGCGCTTGCCAGACAGACAGAGACAGAGACAGAAAGCGAGAAATCACCCCCCAGGGGGGATGGTCATGCCGCAATCCCTTCTCCATTCTCCTCTCAGGATCCTGGGCGTGCACACACATGTGCCCGGCATGAGTTTAAGCCACCGGGTCTGGGACTTGAACCGCGGTCAACTATGGGGGAGTCCAGTGACATAGCCATTACGCTAACTGCTGGTCCCTTGAAGTTTCCTTTTAAATAATTCTTTGGGACCAGCAGGTGGCATGGTGGTTAAGGTGGTGTACTCCCACATGACTGACTGCCCTGGACCCAGCGGCTTAAAGCTCACACCAGGCGTGTGTGCGAGTGTGTCCAAGATCCCAAAAGGAGATTGGAGAAGGGATTGTGTTGTGGCCATCCTCCTGGGGGAGGTGATTTCTCACTTTCTCTTGGGCGAGCACATGCGCCCTATAGCCAACATCGCTCTCTCTCATAAAAAAGTAAGTTTGTCTTTGGAAGAGGTGAGATGTACTTTAATACACTGGAAGTTTACGTGCCCTTGTCTAGGAGAGGACTTGCGTGTTTCTTTACGTCTGCTCACGTGGTCTGCTGTCGGTCCCTGGACGTGCGGCGCCCCCCTGGCTTTACTCTTAGCTGTGTGTTACTTCCTGAGGGACGTCTTAAGAGTGCCCGCTTTGTGCTCTAAGCTCCTTCGTGTCTCTCATTGGAGTTGCGATGACATCTACCCATATGTTTATTCGGTTTGTATCCCAAACACGTCTATAAGCTTCATAAATACAGTACCATATCTGTTTTTCATTTTTGTATCCTCATTGCCAAGCTTAATGCCAAGCTTAATGTTAAATAGGAGTCAGCAGGTGGTGTGGTGGTTAAACGCATTGGATTCCCATATGGCCAACCGCAGTTCGAGTCCCAGACCTGGTGGCTTGCTTTCTCGCTTTTCCTTTCTCTCTCTCTGTCTCTGTCTGGTCAAATTAAAAATAAATAAATGTCGATAGCAAATGGAGATGAATAAATAAATAATTTTTTTTAAATGGTGCGTTAAATACTCATCATATGAATGAATTGGTACTTTATATTAATGTTGGAATAGACACCTTTCTTTTTTGTAGAGGTTTTGGCCTTAGGGCACATACACCAGACAGAAAGGGAAAGTGAGAAATGCCACGATCTGGGACCAGCAGTTAACGTAATGGCTATGTCGTCTATTGCGGCTGAGTCCTGGACCCGTGGATTAAACTCACACCAGGCGTGTGTGTGTGCGTGCCCAAGATCCCGAGAGGAGAATGGAGGAGAAGGGATTGTGGTGCGGCCATCCCCCCTGGGGGGTGATTTTTTCGCTTTTTGTCTCTCTGTCTGGTGAGTGCACGCACCCTATAGCAAAAGCCTCTCCAAAAAAAAAAGGAAAGAAAAAGAAATGGCATGATCCG